CGTTAGGGGAACTGGTAGTCTGCCGAGGTGATAAGCTGCTGGCTGTTAGATTAGCGGCTTTTGGCCATAGTAACTGCGGCACTGCGACGAAGTTCTTTTGGGCGCACGGGACCGGTTGGCGTAGCCTGATGGCGACCGCTTCCACCGTAGCCAACAAACGCTGTCCAACCGTACTGTTATGTCTACCAGCCCGCATACTTTATGTACATAATTACCATATAAATGTAAAAGCCTAACAAGAATTTATTAAAAGCAAACGCATGTTCGCCAATTCCTCTTCTGAAGTTTTAAATGGGAACTTTCACAAATATAAATAAGTATATAAAAGTAAAAAAAACAACTCTCAACAAATAAAAAGGAATTTAAACAGCAAAAAACACAATACAACAACTTTTTGCATATCTTTATATGAACGTAGTAATTAACGCACCGAAGGCTACTTCCTATAACCATTAAATCGTAAGCCAAACCAGGTCACGCCATTTAGTTCAAACCCGGGGCCTTAAATAACCTATCGTTACCACTGTTTTAGACCCTGCTCCGTACAAGCAGTAAATTCCGTTGACCATTATACTGATTGGTTTCAACACTAACAAATTAAACTTAATCCAAGTAAACTGATAGAGATGCACATGGTGCCCAAAGTCAAACTTTCTTGATTTTGTGGATCGACCTCACAACAAACACATCATCACCTTTGCGTGTATTACTTTATATGAAGTTTTGGGCTTTTATTAATCTGATCATAGATAGAGAATAGCGTGGAAAAAATCTTTTGTTGTTAAGCAACTTGCTTATGACAGGCATGTAAAAAATTGCACAGTTTTATTTCGGCATAGTTCATAAAGATTATGTTTTGAGTTCTTGAATACGTTTTATTGATTTTTTCATATAAGAAATATGTGTTAGGCGTTGAAGCTCTCCACTGTGATCTACATCTGCGTTTGACGTTGTGCACTTTCGGCAAACCTTCCCCACTAAAATGTAATGAGTCATATGGATTTGTTTGAGAGAAATGGCGCATGCCGTAGTTTTTGAAGGAATCAACCAATTGCCAAAGTCACACCATCTTAGAAGTTATACGTGAATTGCTAATATTTTTACCAAAGGTAGGAATCCAAACTTTGGAAAAACTGCCAAAATTCCTGCTAAATTAAGATAAGAAACTAACCTATGTAGCATTATTTAAATATCCAAAATCTGTGGAAATTGTGCGCGCCAGTTCAGTAAGAACAGACTACCAGATTAACTGTCCGGACACAAGGGTAATCGACAGAATCTGTGAGCTATTAGGGACCTTGGCAGGAAAGCTCTGATCTGCACCTGGATCCTCCAACAGCATGTTAAGTCTTGCGATATCAAATAGAAATAGAAAAAGTTTCCACCGACTGATTAGCCTATCAGATGCTGTCTACCTTCCCATTACTTATATACTGGTGTAGCAAGTGAGAAATTCCTTCGAAGGCAAGTAATCCTCCTTCATCTTCTATTTCTCACTTATATTAAAGTCCTATTTTGAAAAATCAGGTAAGAATATAGGAAAAACCTAAGAATACGTAAGCATGAGTTCTTAATTAAAATCCTTTGCTTTTTGATTCGGAGGGAAAGGTCTTCTAAGCAGGCTCAGGCTATTGAGCAGATGTGCTAACGCACATGGGGTTTTAGATAATTAACGTGACAATCTCGTATGTACTCTACAAAACGTTAATACTGGCACTAAAACATTCACTATGGTGCTTAACTGAAAAATAATTATACTGTTTTCCTAATTTTTAACGATTTGAAACCTTAAATGCTAACCATTCTGCAAGTAGATGATGATTGCTCTCACATGTTTCCTTGACCAAACTCACATCTTTGTCCGCAACGCGCTTGCAAGGCAAAAGTTTGATTGAAATAATGTAAGCCTAGGTACCCCAAAAATGTACTAAGTCGACCTGTTTTTAACATAAGATAACAAAGATCAAATTTACTTTTAGTGCCCTTATGTATGTGGGCTCCACAGACGTCATCGACGTGTCCAGTGTGTAGACGACCTGGGAGAAGAATACGCAGACAGATTTTGCGAGCAGCATTTGCGTCCAGATTCTTGGGCCATGTGTCCTGATCTATGTCCAAGTAAGCCTCCTCTTCTTTCCTCTGTTATCCAAATGCTTATTGTGAATATCTGGAATAACCTTAAGACATCATATAAATTTATCTCCTGCTCAAGGTAGAAACTTCCTGAGGGATTTTTGCATTAAAAAGGCTGACCTTATCGCCTTAGGGTTTACCAGCTCGCACCTGTGGCAAATAATCGAAAAACGGCAGCTTCTGTGGTCTTAAAGGATCGTCTCATTCTCAAGAAGGTGTGCAGGTTTTAAGTCGTATTATTCCTTTGGAATAGCATTAAGCATAACGACAGGGGACACTGAAATGGCCATTTCTGGCTTCTCAGCGGAAATCAGCCCGCCGAGCTAGCAAACCCAGGCGCTCTAATCCGCCTTCTGTTGATTAAATGTACAAGGCTGTTACCACTGAGCCAAGGAATCGTTGTCCTGTTAGATGCTTGCACGAACGAAAATCCTAAGAATATAATGGTACTGGCAGAAATTATCATTATGATTTATGTAATTGTTATAGTAGAATTCGTTGTAGTATCCGTAGAACTATGCAATGTGATATAGAAAGTGTTTGTGACGTATACAGCAGCAATTGTGTCATTAATAATAAAAAGGTTGCGGCGTTAACAGCCATGGCATTTATCATGAAAATGCTGGGGTCGTGCTATTGGTGGTAATGGCTCACATAAAAACCAGCGTTTAATCTGGA